TAAACAAGTGCATGGCTGTGTGCCAGTAAAGCTTCACAACTGTGGGGTCATGGTGTGCCATCCGCGGCTTCATAAACAGACATGGATGAGAGCTGTGTGTTGGTGAAAATAATGACTACTACAAAAACACAAGGATAGCTTATTAGAAATGCAGGATTCAAAAGTGTACGGATGAGTGTGAAAATAGCTGCAAATAGAAAATAAGAGAGGGGAGTCAATTCCTAATTATGGCTCAGTAGGATGACAGGGCAGCAAATGGACAAAATTGTCTTTCCTCATTATTTCCATTCTTCTTTATTTGCGCTACTTTTATAATAACAATGTTTTCAAATGTAACAAAAGTGCTGGGACTCAGGATACAGTTACATTTAAAAATATTCACCTAGACTAGTTTACACTGTTGTGTTAGTGCCGCCATTGCTGAAATATAAAATACTTTTTAATCCTTTTTCTTGGAAACCACTTTCAGAACCACTTTGCAGATTTCTGAAATTAAATACATACTTAAACCTTTTGTGTCCCAAAACAGTCAGTCACCCTGACGTGTTGTCTGTGCCAGACTTGTGACCAAACTCAAATTCATTTTTATAAAATGGGTATCTGTAATAGCTCCAAGTAGTAAATTAAATAAACTCCTAAACCAGTATCAAATAGAAATTTAGCAGCATCATTAGAATAAATGTTTTTTGTATTAACTTCCCAAAGTAAATTTTCTAAAGACCTTACCTATTTGAAGTACAGTAGGTGCAAGAGCCTAGCTCGGCATGACTTGTGCTCCTTCCTGGTCTCTAGTTTCGCTTGTAGGCTAAGGTTTGCTCAGTCCTGCTTGGTCCACGCTGTTCCATTACCAATTGACACATTAGCCAGCTGTTGGAGCTACTTTGCCCAGCTTGTCCGACCCCTAGGTCTGGACCACATTTGCCTTTTATATGGCCTCCAGTTTCTGAAATTTGCCCGGAAGGGGAAAGGAGACAGAGGTGGTCTTACTGTTTCCTGAAACTCAGATGCCATAGCAGAGTACTTTTAAAGACATCTTGATTCTATTAACATTTGCAGGTCAGAGGGCATGTGCAACTGGTCTGGCTGTTTCCAACACCAGGAATAGAAGGAATTCACCACTTTAGTGATTTAGAGTTGAGTTTCTGCTGTCACCCACTCACTATGGTAACATGGCGTGTTAGTGATACAGCGGGAGGTTCCTCATCATTGTGAAAGTTTTTATGACCATTTTGTCTTTTTTTTTTTTTCTCTTTTCCTGGGGTAAAGACGTGAACAGAACAAGGAAGAGTAATTTAGCAGACAGAGCACTGAAGTTTTTTGCTTTGCCCAGACCTGCAGGATATGCATACTACCTTTTAAAAACAATTATTTATTTTTATGGGAAAAGCAGATTTACAGAGTGAAGGAAAGACAGAGAGTAAGATCTTCCATCTGATGTTTCAGTCCCAAGTGGCCACAACGGAGCTGAGTCAGGAGCTTTTTTTGGAGGATGGCTTTGGACTGTCCTTGACTGCTTTCCCAGGCCACAAGTAGGGAGCTGGATGGGAAGTGGAGCAGCCAGGATATGAACCAGCATCCATATGGGATCCTGGCGCATGCAATGCAAGTACTTTAGCCACTAGGCTACCATGCCAGGCCCGGTCCAGTATGTTTTACATTTTATGTGTTTGTATTGCTCCCAAGGGGCTGGTGAAAAGCACTCAGTGTGTTGACTGGTGAATCTCCCATGTCTGTGGGTCGTCTTCTAATAGAATTCTTAAAATCAGTGAGAATCTCCCAGCCAGGATATATTTCTGTAAATTAGCCGTATCACTTATTACAAAAGATGACTTTGATATCTCAAGCTATTGTCTGATTAAAAAGGAATTCTTTTTCATGGTTTTTATTTTTTAAAATAATTTTAATGACTTTTCACTGAATATGTATTGCTCTTATCAGAAGATACTTTTTTTTTACGAAGAAGTAATTCCCTTGAATAGGTGACAACTAAAAGTCCTTTTGCAATTTACTTTTTTTTCTACCTTGTATTCCATTCCCTCTGAAAAACTGAGTATTCTTAGCAGTTTTAACTTAATCTTTTCAGATGTACTATATAAAATTAAACCATGTAAATTCAAAACTCTACTATAAGATATTTCTTATCAGATGTATTAGAAGAACCGCAATGCTCCTTAGTCCCAAAAAGTCATGGCTCTTCTTATTTCACAAACTTCATCTGAATCCTTGTCCATCTTCTGGGTTTTTTTTTTTTTCCTAACAGCCTATTTTCCACCGTAGTATTTCCCACTTACCAAAACAGTAACCAAGAGGACAGGATCATTTCTGTCCCTGCTCATAAAGAAAAGGAAAACCCAAAAGCTAACGAGTAATAATGACACTACTCAGAATTCCTGAGTAGTGAACTGAGCGTAGTATAATCCAAATCTCTCATTCTCTTGGCTGTGATTCGCCCTTTGTTTAGGTACTTAGTCATGTAATAACCAACATGGAGACTGTCCTTTGCATGTGGAAAGGACCAAGTTCTGATGAGGTGACCGGGAGCTACCTAGAGGGTGGGAATCCCTAACACTTGCGGGAAGGAGCGTCAGATCCTGTGAGGTGATAGCTTTTTATTCCTCCGCATGAGCAGCATCAGTGGCATAAAATCTATTTGAGTTACATTAAAAGTTTTAAAGGCTTCAGATTATTCATCTCACTAAAAAGGCATTACTCTAGTGGCTAAGACTCCACATCCCTTAAAATTTGAAATTGGAAATCTAAATTGTCACCTGTTATGTTACATTACTGTTGGAGAATCTGACATTTTACCCCGGAGATTAACTGTACTACATTATTTGGCCAAGCATACCATTTATAAGAGAGTTTGAAATTCCCTCAAGGTCCCTCAGTAGTTTATTGTTTTATGTTCCAAGCTTAAACACGGAATGGAGCTCAAATCCCGTCACCTTCGTATTTTGTAACTGGAGTTTATTTCCCATTCATCTTCTGCTCCTTGCCCACAGCAGTGTGGCAACCCTGCTTGAGAAAGCACACTTCTCGTTCCAGCTTTGTCGGATGCGGGGCGACCCAAAAGAGAACAGATGACCGCAGTCAACAGGAAACTGCAGAGTTAGACCATCTTGAACTCCTTCACCTTTAAGCTCATTTTACCACTTAACATATTTTTTTCAAGTGGTCAGAGGGTATATTTAGATTGTTGTTATCCCTTTGGTGTTGACTGGAGCCTCATGGTGTAAGCCATCTGCCATTTCTTAGAGTCACGGAGCAGGGAGGGGGCAGTGAAAGCTGACACTGGGGTCGATGAGAATCTTGCCTCCTTCTTCAGGACTAGTTAAAACAAATCCTCATTTCCATGCTGTAAGCTGATACACACCCTTCATTCATTTGTCTTGCCTGTTCAGAGTTCAGTACAAACTGCCTGTCCGGAATATTGAAAAGATAAGATAGTTTTCCAGTTTGTGGCTACACTAAAACTCTTCCATATGACTACTGTTGAGACGCAGTTATCTTAACAGAAGACAGAAGTGAGGTTAAACGTAGGCAGTGCTTTCTGCAATTCAACATTTCCCTAGGTCAAAGCTCAAGTCACTTATACAGTTCCTGTAAATCAGATCTGTCTTCTTACATAAAAGATGAGCTACTGAAGAATGCACTTAGACCGTGAGACTAATTGTTCACCAGCTCTATTCTGATTAGTTTATAGATGTCTGCCTTCCTCCCTAGGAAATACCTTCAAGTTGTTCATCGCAAGAAGTATGAAAAATTTATTGTTTCCAAATGTGTAGGTTATTGCCAACAACTGCAGACCTAACTTCCATTGATAAGATAAAGAGAATTGTCAGAAGCCTTTGTTTCCAAATCTAGTGTACTCCATTTGCAGTGTGTTATCTGAGTCCAGTCTGTACATGAAAATGTTCTCAGTGCAGCCAATGCTTTGGTTTGCTTGGAAGTGATGGAATACATAGTGGAGGGATGGATTAAATGTGTAGGTAGCAGAATTATTCTTACTTAAAATCACAAAGCTTGTTTCCTTTGGGGGAGTGTCGTTTTTTGCTTTTTTTTTTTTTTTTTGTAATTGGAAAGTCAGATTTACAAAGTGAAGCAGAGACAGAGAGAAAGGTCTTACATTTGCTGAGTCACTCCCTATGTGGCTGCAAAGGCCAAAGCTGAGCTGATCTGAAGCCAGGCGCTAGGAGCTCCTTCCGGGTCTCCCACATGGATGCAGGGTCCCAAGACTTTGGGTCGTCCTCCACTGCTTTCCCAGGCCACAAGCAGGGAGCTGGATGAGAAGTGAAGCGGCCAGGATACAAACTGGTGCCAAAAAGGGATCCCAGGCATGCAAGGTGTGGACTTTAGGCACTAGGGTACCGTGACGGGTCCAGCTTGTTGCTGTTTCAAATTCAACTCAGTTATAGATAGGAAAAACCTGTAAAGTGAAAAACTTAAGTTGTTACCAATATAATTTTTATACATTCAGTATGTTATTTAGGCTTTATTTGAGAAACTTAGCATAAGATCAGCCCTTTTGATACATTTTTTTTGTTTGTTTTACTCTCCAGTGGTCTTCACTATGGGGACAGTGTTGTAGAGCCGACTTCTAGGGCATACTCCTCATGTATAACTGGAGCTTCTTGGCACCTGGTTAGCAGCTTGCACATTTCCCCCACTGATGTACTCTGAATTCTGAATTTGGTCACTTAATGCCATCATGTACACGGAATCATGCCATGTTTGTGCCTCCACACCTGCCTTCTTTCACTTAGTGTAACATAGGAACCCTTTATTCAAGTAGCAGTCAACAACATGATAAAAGATAGAGGGGGGGGAATCTAAATGAGATTCCAAGCTTTCCTGCTTCTTCCATGTTGAACTTGGGCAAGCTGTACACCCTCTCTAAGCCTCAGTTCCATCGTCCATAAACTAGGAATAGTATAACTTCCTATGCTATTGGTAGTATAGAACCAATGCGAAGGTTAAAGTCCTGGCATTTTCTTCCACAGGCAAGAAGCTCTTCTGGCTGCGATTAGTGAAAAAGATGCCAACATTGCTCTTCTAGAGCTTTCATCCTCCAAGAAAAAGACTCAAGAGGAAGTGGCTGCACTGAAGCGAGAGAAGGACCGACTGGTGCAGCAGCTCAAACAGCAGGTACTGTGAGTGCACCCGGGCAGTGCTGTCCTCTGCACATGTCTTCCGGATCTGATAGCAACGTCTTCTGTTTCATATCAGGTGTCTGTTGATCAGATCGAGTTAATTCTCAAAGTAGAGACGTTGTGTCTCAGTAGCTTGCTGGCTCTCTAGAATGTGCAGCGGTATTTGTGCCAACAGGGCTGCTTGAGAAGCTGTGAAAATGTTCTGAGCTTTATGCAGTGACTGGTAGAAAGCAAAGAAATGGAACACAAAAGATGACTTTCTTACAGCCAGTTCGATTCTTGTAATACAGGCAGTAAGTACGTCCTTATTCCAAGGTTTGTAAGTCCGAAAGCTGAGCACATCATTTCACTGGTTTGTGAGCTTGTTTTTAGCCATATCCATTCTTGTAAGTCATCGTGCCTGACTATATAGACACATGATTTAATCAGTTTGGGGGCTCTTGATCATCTTAAGACACCAAATGGAATAGAATGGCTAGTGGAGCACAGTACTGTGTCAGTGAGCATGGGTTTTGGTTACCTAATTCTCTTAAGACTGTGTTTTCATTAAGTGAAAATTAAGGACACTAATGTATGAGTTTATGAACTTAGAAATAGCAGCTAAAACAATTTTCAGTTCTTATTTTTCTTTTCTTTTTTATATTATTATTTTGTTATTAGCATTTTATGATACAGTTCCATAGACCCTGGAATTTCCCCTATTCCCTCCCTAAATCCCTTCCCCCCACTGAGTTCCAACATATCATTACAACTGTGTAGTTCCTCATAGACAGTTATAGGTCCATCATTGTGGGCATGGACAACGGCAAAGGGTCCAGCATCCCATTGTCGGGACACACCCAGCACTTTCACTGGAGGTCTATCCAAGATCCAGAAATAGAGATTACACTGTATCCTCACATCTGGACATGTCAGTCTCTACTACACAGTCACTATAAATCCCCCCCAAGTGAAAAGCCACACACACACACACACAAAACAAAACAACAACAGGAAGAAGAATAGAAATTTACAATGCCATGAAGTTAAATAACATGCCACTGGATATGATGGTCTCCATTACACAGTTACTATACATCTTCTTAAATGAAAAGCCACAAAACAGAATCAACAACCGGAAGGAAAAATAGAAAGTTACAATGCCATGAAGTTAAATAACATGCTACTGAATGACTAATGTGTCATTGAAAAAATGAAAAGGGAAACCAAAAACGTTTCTTTTAAAGATTTATTTTATTTTTTATTGGAAAGTCAGATATGCAGAGGAGAAGAGACAGATAGAAAGATCTTAACATCCATCAATTCACTCCGCAAACGGCCACAATGGCCCGAACTGTGCCGATGAGAATCCTGGGGCTTAGAGCTCTTCTGGCTTTTCCATGTGGATGCAGGGTCCCAAGGCTTTGGGTTATCCTGGACTGCTTTCCCAGGCCACAAACAGGGAGCTGGGTGGGAAGCAGGGCAGCCGGAATTAAAACCAGCAGCCATATGGGATCCCAGCGTGTGCAAGGGAAGGACTTTAGCCACTAGCCTACCACGGTGGGCCCAAGAACCGTCTTGAAGAAAATGATGCTACTGTATGATCTGAGTCATTGAAAGATTTAATGAGAAAAAAAGCATGTTTTGAAGTAATGAAGCTAGAAACATCAAAATCTATGAGCTATAGTTTCTGCTGTTTTTTTCTTGGTGAGATGTCTCCTGTAGGGAACAAATAGATGGGTGTTTTTAATCCAGTCTACTAATCTATGACATTTGATTGATGAGTTTAAGCCATTTGCATTCAGGGTTAATATAAATAGGTGATAATTTGTGGGTAATTTGTTCCTGTCATTTAGCAATGGGTTGTTCATTGATTTAATCTTCTGTTATTTTACTGGAATGTTCTGCTCATTTGCCTTTGGTTTTGGTGGATACTATTCCTCTTCTCTGTCAAGAGAACATCTTTAAGTATCATTGTAGGGCAGGTATGGAAGAGACATATTCTTTCTTTTTTTTTTTTTTTTAAGATTTATTTATTTGTATTGGAAAGTCAGATATACAGAGAGGAAGATCTTCCGTCCAATGATTCACTCCCCAAGTGACTGCAACAGCTGGTGCTGCACCAATCCGAAGCCAGGAACCAGGAACCTCTTCTGGGTCTCCCATGCAGGTGCAGGGTCCCAAGGATTTGGACCATCCTCGACTGCTTTCCCAGGCCACAAGCAGGGAGCTGGATGGGAAGTGGAGCTGCCGGGATTAGAACCGGCGCCCATATGGGATCCCGGCATGTTCAAGGCAAGGACTTTAGCCACTAGGCCATGCCACTGGACCCTAGACATATACTTTCAACTTTTCTTTACTGTGGAAGATTTTTATTTCATTTTCAAAGACTTAGGAAAACTTTGCTGGATACATTATCCTGGGCCAACAATTTTTTGCTCTTAAATATGTCACTCCATTCTCTTCTGGCCTCTGCAGTTTCCTGTGCGAGATCAGCTATGTATTTAATTGCCATTCCTCTATATGTCAGTTGATTTTTTTTTTTACAAATACATTAAAGGATCTTTTCCTTATATTCATTTGTGTTGTGGTAAGATCAGTTTTAGTCAAGTCTGCTGGGAGTCCTGTGCCCCTCCTGGGTGTTGTTTCCTTGTTCTTTCACCCAATTAAGGAAATTTTTCTTTATTATTTTTAAACCCAGCTTCTCGTTCTGTACCTTCTGGAACTCCCGTGACTTTTATATTTGACCTTTTAATAGTGTCTTAATTGTTAAATACTTTTTTAGCTTGACATAGCTCTTTTTCCAGTTTTTTGATTATTTCCCCATTGTGACAGGAAATATCTTCCAGTTCTGACATTCTTTCTTTGGCCTCCTTCATTCTGTTATTGAGACCTTGCACTGAATTTTTAATTTGCTCTGTTGCATCCTTCATTTCCAGTAATTTGGCTTGATTTTGTTTCAGTGTTGTTATTTGCTGTGTGGCATATTGCTTAAATTCTTGCATGTTGTAAATTCTCACTGTTGATAAGAAGCTTTATAACAAATGTTTTGGATTTTGTATCTGCCATTTTCTCAATGTATTCCTCAGTTAATTCTGAGGTTCACAAAGGCTTTTGCTCTTTTGCAGGGGAGTCTTCAGTAATATTCATTGTGCTTCTGTCTCCTCTTTTGCTCTTGGTCTTCGTACTTCTGGTTAACAGATTCTTCTTCTTAGGGGAGGTCTCCAAGCTGTGTCAAACACAGGTCTTCGATTCCATTTAACTGTTGTGGTTAGTACACGGCTCTTTGTTTGCAGTCACTTGTGCCACTCCCTCCAGTGAGTTTCAGATCTGGGCTTTTATGTTAGACTTCCACCATGTTCTCTGTAGCCCGGGCCCTGGCTCAGCACTTCACCTCCTGTGATCCCGCACTGTTGTTGTACTGTTGTATGTACAGCCTTTGTCCCATTTCCAGTTTGCGCAGGTCCCAGGATGATAGCACACATGCAGCTCACTTTGTCCCTGCAGTCTCATAGCCTTTGCCACACTGTACAAAATGGCACCTGATGAGCCACACTCATGGAGTTCTTGATCTTCTGGCTGTTAGGTCTAAGGGTGACCCAGAACCTGAAAGATGCCATGTTGTTTGCATTCTCTGAGTTAGTGATTTCACTCCCAGCTTAGTGCGTGCACAGTCCTGTCCCATAGCCATTACCTCCCTGCACAAGATGGCGCCTGATTCAGCTCTATTGGGATTTTGAGCTGTGAAATCCAACCTGTTTCTGCACTTCCTCTTGGGGATCTGCTGCTCTATCTCTGCTCCTGATCCAATCAAACAAACCAGCAGGATGGGCAGCTCTTTGTCTGGGTTCACCTCCTGAGCTCCTGGTGAAGTCCTGTTCCCCCCCTGGTTGCTGGTGAAGTTTCAGCCACTGGTATAGTTCAGATCAAACTTGCTGAAGGGCTGGGGCATCTTGTCACTGCAGCTCCACACCATTGTCTCCACTGCTTTCCTGTGTCCATCCGTCTCCGGGTGCCACTCTGCTGTTGTTCGGTCCTCTCCTGTTTCCAGGAATGTGCCCTCTTTGCTTCACCCTGGCTAATGTTTCTCCGTCATTTAAACATTTAAACATGTGTTCTTATCCTATTCTGCCATCTTGATTCTCCAATTCTAAGTAGTTTATATCTGAGTATATGGCCTGAATCTCCTCAAGTGATGTGATCTACATAAAGAGAAATATAAAGCAATTCTGTAGAGTCCTTCCTGCCATTCTTTCGTGCCTCCAGCCATGCGACATATCACTTTCCTGCCTTCTCCAAATGTATCTCTGATCTGCAAAGAGGAAGGACGGAAGTTTGGCTCTTTAATTACTCTGTGTCCGTGTTAACTTTTGGACAAGAAAGATGCCTTTTGGAATGAGGATATGATATTGGTACCGTTTTAATTGAAAGCCTCCTAGTCCTTGGGTTGCTGGGATATGCCTCTTATTAAAGCCCATTTCCTAACCAGGGAAACAGCATTGACCAGGCTTGCCAGTAAATGGAGCTGCCACTGCCTGATAGACTCTTGGCATGCACATGCAATTCCTGTTTTCAGGACGAAGTGGAGCAAGGAGGACCATTAGGATTTAGGGGTCCCCCTCTAATATGGTCCCAATTTACTTACTGCCCTTCCCCCAGGGGAGCTTGTTTCCTTAACTCATTCTTGGTCTAAAGCAACACTTGGAGGGCTACATCCTAGGAGGAGACCAGGACTGAAGAAAAAGGTTGTCTAACTAACTCCAGATGTTCTGTGGTGAGTGCCAACCATGTGTGCAGACTTGTAAGTCACGAAGAAGCCCCCAGCCTGCTAGTCAGGCACCCACATTAGACTTCATGTAAACTCAAACCCCTAGCAGGCATCACTACAGACTGTTGTAGCTGCAGCAGCTGTCACAAGATGGCCTTTTTCTCAGCACTATTTTCTCCACCTGCAGAATTTCACAACCTTCATATTGTCTTTGCTGTTAGTGTAAAGTTGACCTTCGGCCCTGTGTG